GACAAAGACCTGCAAATAGAAGTAAGACGACTGTGGCAAAAGAAAGCAAAGGTAGTACCAATAGTAATAGGCACCTTACGTGTAATCCCAAAACATCTGGAGCACCATCAGTCAATTCCAAAAGGCAGCTTTACTTGGAACAGCTTACATCATGCAACAATACCTTTAACACCATCAAACAACAACATCTACCTATCCCAGGTCCTTGGGAAGGACTCAATAGGTGGATAAAAATTCCAAATCCAGTCTAAACATCTGGGTGGCTGTGCAATCAACAATAATAATAGAAATAGAACTACAAGAGGTACTGATTACAATCCAGGGGAAAAAAAGTAATTGAAGGCTCAAAATCAAGTAAATCACCCACACTATTTTTAGATCTCAAGGATATAACTGCAAATACGTATCTCATCCTGAAGAAAAATCTAAGGGACAGGCCATCATTTTGGAGGATCTTAAGCAGCATCACACAGCAAGCTAAAATTTGAACTGTTTGTCAGATTCCCTCTTACACTATCATTCTAAAAGCATCTGTCAGGAGTGGACAGTATTTTTTTCTCCCCTTCCCCTTCTTTTCCTTTCAGTGGGTGGGACCATCAGATGAAAGTCAGTGTGGGCTTGAATTTTTTTTTCTTTTTTGGTTTTTGTTGTTTCTTCTAGGACTGGTTGAGAGACACAGAGAGAAAGAATTAAAATGTACTTTAAAGTCCTAACCCTGTTCTAAGTCTTAAAGCATTAACATACTCTAAAACAATAGAAAACCACACAGCCAATTCTGAATGTCTGTATTAATGAATTAATTTTTGTGGTTCAGTCAGAACAGACTCCGAGAGCGTGTGGTTTGAAAGCTATTCCCCATCAAACTTCACGACCTGATGCCCTTCAGATTGTATTAGACTACCACCCCCATCATCCCAAGCCAGTATGGAAGTTGAAGGTTGCTTTTTGTGAGTCAGTATGAGCAAACTCAGGGAAGCAACTGTTTGGGAATTACTGAGCAAGCTTTAGTCTTCACAGTACTAGAACTCTTTCATACCAAGGTAGAATTCTAACAATCAGAAACTCTGTAGTTTCCCCTCTCCAGGTTGTAGTACCCACTGGGTGTTAAAAAAACTTGTTACACATTGTCTGTCTCTTGCTATATGCTGGCTTTACATAGAAAATGTAAGTCGTTTCTATAGTGCAGTGAAAATGATTCTCACTGTGAGCAAAAAAGGATGTAGGGCTCCAGATACTGCAACTGAGCGCATGCTACTATAACTGAGCTTGACCTGACCCACGCATGCAAAAATTGCTTTTTTTAATAAATAATAAACTCTCTCCTCCTTCTCATATGAGTGGGATCAGAACGCAGCAGAGCACAAGGAAAACTGCATGAACTTTGCAGGGGGCCTGCTGGGTGGTCCCACTGCCCCTTTAATTGCATGATTCCCCTTCACCTGTGGAATGCATGGCAGCAGCTGAGATGGTCCCCTGACTGATACAGCAAGACAGTTTTTAAATTTGCCAATCGGTAAAAATTCAGCACTCGCTCTAATTAAAAGACTCCTGTGAAGATAATTAAATGGAAGAAGTGCTGTTATATTTAAGATGAGCCTGTGGAATTATTAATTACTTTTAGTTTCAAATTGCTACCTAAGATCACCTCATTATTTCAGTGGTAAGGCAACTTCGGAATATGCTTTAACTTTATCGGCAATGGTTCAGAAGTTATTGAATCATCTACCTGTAGAAAGTCAAGGGCATAGACCTTGAGACCATTGAAATTATTGCAAAAATCTTTCTTTCTTTCTTTCTTTCTTTCTTTCTTTCTTTCTTTCTTTCTTTCTTTCTTTCTTTCTTTCTTTCTTTTTCTTTCTTTCTTTCTTTCTTTCTTTCTTTCTTCCTTCCTTCCTTTCTTTCTTTCTTTTTCTTTCTTTCTTTCTTTCTTTCTTTCTT